CCTACAAGCTGCTTTCTTAAAAAAAAATGCTTATAACTCACAACAATCACAAAAGCACTCATTCAGTTTTCTTTCTATAAACCTGCTTGTTATGTTTTCTGCTAAGATTAGGAGGTAGTGTGCACTACTGTCAAAATCTCATGAACTCCTTTATGTATTTTATATTTGTCTGTGTAATCTACATAGAAATTCTTTCACCAGAAGTTACATGTATATTTTGTTAGAATATGGCCTCATTCTTAGTCATATTTCTTATCTGGATATCTGAGACTAATGCCTCTCATATCATCCAAAAGGTAAAGGCTGAAGGACAGGTATTCTCTTCTCCTCGGTAACCTCTGATTGGTAATGTGCAGTTATACTTGCCTCATCCAGCACCAGACTATTGCAAAATAGATACATAAAATGCATTCTGGGCTTTATGTACATACCAAGCTTCTTTAGTTCCACAACACTTCTGAGTTTTCAGAGATTTTGAAGGGTGAAGAACTCAGCCAGCGACATCCAGGGTTGAGAGTGGACACAGTCATTCATGTTTCCACCAACTGTCAGTCCATCTTCATGCAAAAAGGCCAGAGTTTTACAAGCCATTTCCTCTTCTTACCAGCTACTCTACAACACTAAACTACTGCCTCTTTCAAATGCAATATATAATGGTTTGCAGCTGCTATGAACAAATGGGATGATTGTGCAACTGCCGGTTTATGCACTTATTTAAAGCTTTTAGCCATCAACTATCTTATTGCTTCTGTTTTTTCACTAGTCATATCATGAACATTAATATAAACAAAGCCATTAACCAAATACAGCATTTTAATACTGGAGTTGGTTGCATTAGTGTACAATACATAAAGTACACACAGCCAGAAAAAATTATGGAATCACATTTTATGATGCTGCCATTTCAGATGAAACTGCACATCTGGTTACTGTGTCAGTTATCATCTTTGACTAAAAGCCCAATAAAGTGCATCATTACACAGAAAAAATGTGGCAATAAATATTTCAGTGTTTCCAGAAATGTGATTCCAGAATACAGAATGGTATGAAATACCCTCAGTGGTAGTTGAAGAGGATGTATATTTATGATTTGGGTTCTGTATATTCATACTTTAACTTGGAGTGCTGCACTGAGTTACTTGTTTACCCAACCAGTCAAATGCAGTTCATTACAGATCACATGTCTGTGAATCACATTATTTTGTTGTTGCAGTGTCAGAGTTATGCTGATTCACTCTACTGTTATTTTTAGTCACTCAAGCAGTGACTCTAAGGATAGCAGTGTTGATCTGTTGCTCCACCGCTCTGGTCCAAACTGAAATATCACAACAACTATTGTGCTCCATTGACCATGAAATTTTGCACAGACATTCATTGACCTCAGAGGATGTTTATCAATAGCTCACTTGTACTAAAGCACCATTATGACGCTGACATATTTTTTTTTTAAGTTTATGTAGATTGCCATGGTTTTGGTATAGACATTAGAGCCCAGTATATAATGAATAGTAAAAAGATTAACATTTAATTTAGTGCCATCATTAGGTCAAACTTTTTAACTCATCCTATACTTAATAAAATACTTGAAAAAACAACAACAACAAATAAACAAATAAATCCTCATGTGTGTTTAGAACCAATAGAGAATGTGAAGTTATGTCACGCCGTGTTGAATGCTGGGACAGGGGCACCATATTTGGAGGAACACTCTGTATTTAACTGCATCTTGTTTTGTTTGGCTAAAAAATTGCTTAAATTGTTTAGATTTCACTTCACTGACTGTGGTAATTCAAGATGGATAACCTTAGCTAACTCTGATCCTGTCTACGAGAGTGACAAAAAATCACTGCGCACTAATCTCAGGTCTCAGTTCTGGAGCTAACGCTAGCTAGCAGCTAGGTCTCAGTTCTGGAGCTAACGCTAGCTAGCAGCTACAGTAGATGAATCCATTTCTGTCCTGTCTGTGCACAGACTGAACACTGAAGTGGACTTAGTAGTGTCGGCTACTCTATGTAGCTGTATGGGATAGTATTTATTTTTTAAACTAACTTATGGATGCATGTAGTGTATATATCCATGACTGATAATGCGCGTGATGTTGCCAACATGACGCATTTACCAAAAATTGAAAACACTATGACGTCAACTATGACATCAAGATGTTGAAGCGGATAAACAGCATACCTGCTAAATCAACATGCTGACAGATCTGTGTTGTTGTAATGGACTACATTATAACGTGAGATTTTTTTCTGTGGCCCTTTTTTGTCTAAATGGGAACAGACAAAAATTAGCAGCTCACTAATGCAATGTAATGCAGCTGAATCAACTCCTGTCCGTTAGTGTTAGAAACTTTACAAGCTACTCAAATGTAAAATGTGTTGTTGGACCATTTTATTGGATTGCATCAGAGTGCACAGGTGTATCTAATAAGCTGTTAACATAGTATACTCCCACTTGGTCCCATCTTTAGTGAAACTAGATGACAGAGAATGTTCTGCTTTTAAATGGGGCTGATTTCATTTGCTATGATTGATGCCTGTTCCTCTTGCATCCATGGAGAATGATTTCCTCCCTCACATATTTTACAAATAAACTAGTGGTACAACTTTTGATTATTAAATTACAAAAATTTGTAAATAAATAAATAAACTTGCACAAGGCCATTATGCCTCTTCATCGTGCCGTTGCTCATTAAAATAGGCCCCCACGTTTATACTCTTAGCTTTATTTAGTACACATCATTTGAAAACACCTATTTCTGGGCTGTGTGTGAATAACAGGTTAATTATCCAGAAAATCTTGGTGTGAGTTAATACACTGGGGAGTATTTGATCCCATGTTCTCCCTTAGGTTGTCACTGAGGACAAACATATTAGTTTGTGTAAGGTACTCCCATAGACATACCCAGATAAAACAACAGAACTCCAAGACACACATACTGTACATGCACTCACTGACACACATAGTACATGAAACCAAACACCTCATTAACACACATCCTGCAGGCTGTACTTGATTAATTTTGGCATCAACACCATATTAACACACATGTCTACACATTCTAGTTTATGGGCTATAAATACACTCACACCCTCTACAGAAGTGTCCAAAATAGCACTCAGTATAAAGAGAATTAATGGGGAGAGTGATTGACAGACAAATACATAATGAAGACATGGCAGCGGGAGGAAGGAGATAAAAGGAGGGGATTACACATATCAACAGCAGTAAGTCAGTGACACAGGGCAAAGGGATGAAGGATGATGGAGGGATAGCGAGAGGAAAATAATCAGTAAATATCTGGACATACTGACACAGAACTGATGTCTTAACAGTGACAAACGTGTGCTCATACACACTCTCCCTTTTTCTGTCTCCATACATTGTTCATGCACATTGTTGTAATGTTCCTTTTTTCTGTATCCTCAAACTAATTCAGTCTAACTAAATTTCCTACATTTCCCAGAACCACTTTCACCATCCCTCACAAACATGACTAGACATGTCCTGTCACTGTTTATATGTAGCTGCAGCTGCATTGTGATAGTGGTTGTGATAATGATTGCAAGATCAAGAGTTCCCCAGTGGCTAAAAGTGACAGGCACTGTATGCATTATTCACAACACAGCATGTTTGCGTCATGGTCTTCTGAGGCTACTGTTGGTGAAAAATGTTTCATTCCGGAGACTTTTCCTGATTTGGCTGCATTGAAAATCAGAGCAAACTGGTAAGTGGCTATGATCTTTAGTTCTGCACAGTAATATGATCTAAATACTAAATAACTCATGCTGTTGTGGTTCTGTCACATTAATCTTCACTGCAGCTTTTCTAAAATATTTATGCTCACATCTGGCCATTTTTGTTGGCAATAACAAAGATAGGCAATTAGCATACATACACAATGTACAGTGCAACTGTCTGTTCAGTATGGGATCTGCTTTTACCTTTATACCCTTTTTAAGAGTAGATCTTTTGACTTAACATAGCAGGAAAGGCACAGATGGTACTAACAACATTAATAATGTCTCTGTTCCATTCAAGTGTGACCGCAGGAACAATACCAGGACCCTAAATGTGAAGTAGCTGAATGAATTTCAGCCATCATTCATTTTATTATTTACACCTGTGTGTTTTCCTTTGTTTTCCAAAAAAATATAATACAATTGAATAGAATGAGCCTAATATTAATGTCATTAGCAACACCAGTGCCTTTTCTGCTATGAAACATGAAAATGTCTAATGTGGAAAAAAAAAACTTTACCACTTAAATATAACATGTTATTGTCTGTGTATATAAAGAGCAAGTCAGTGTCAGCGTAGTAACTGAACGTTGTCAGGGAATGGGGTATTTCATTAACTTGTTTTTAAAGTAATTTTTGTTTCTGTGTTGTTCTATTCTTTTCTGCACACATGTTGGGCAAATGTTGAATCAGACATCAACCTCATGATGACAAGGAAATTTCATTTAACTCGTGTTGTTTATTTCTTTAGCTTGGATGTGTTGGCTAGCACACAGATATACTGATGAGACTGCTTGACCAGCATGGACAGATTAGGAGAAAATGGACGCCTGGACATAGACTGGTAAAAGGCCACCCTCCCCTCCTACACAGGACAGGCCCCCACATTTAGTTTGTGTCTCCTTACTGTCATTTTTCATGATCTCTTTTTGATCATATTGCAGCCCCATCTCTCTGTTATTGGTTTGCATCTCTTTTGGTTATTTTGCTTCTCCATGCTTTTGTTAGTTTTCATGTGTTCATTTTGTATCGCTCTGTGGTTGTTTTGTGTCTCTTTTAGGTAACTTGAGCTGTGGCGTGGAGAGGTAGAGTGAGTCAAACTTTGATCCCACGGTTGGCAGTTTGATTCCTGTTCTCCCCAGTCCACATGTTGGAGTGTCCTTGGCCAAGACACTGAACCCCATTGACCAGGCCAGCGCCCTGCATGGCAGCCACCATCGGTGTGTGAATGGGTGGATCTCTTTGTCCAGGTAAGGTAGAAAAGCTCTATAGAAGTGCAGTCCATTTAACATTGTCGTTTTGCTTCTCTTTGCTCATCTCTAGTCATTTTGTATCTTTCTGTCATCCTTTTAACATCTATTTGGGAACATTACATATCTCTTTTTGGGCATTTTATGTTTTTAACTAACAAACTCTTCATACAAACACTCTGGCATTGTTTACTGTCTGTTTATACTGCGTATTTTGCATCATTTGCACTGTTTGTTGCTTGTTAATACTGCTTATTTTGTTATATTACACAGCCTTATGGTGATTTACTGTTTACTTGCCCCTTGCATGGGGATATGTACATACACATTAAGAGCTGATGTACCAGAGTCAAATTCCTTGTGTGTCCGACACACCTGGCCAATAAAGCAGATTCTGATTCTGATTCTGATAAGAGAAATCCTCAGGATCTGTGCCCAGTAGGCCCATTTGGCAGTCCATCCATGATGACCAGTCTTTAGAAACAGATATTAGATAGTTGGAAACAGATGAATGAATTGGCACTGTAGTAATTTTAGCCCCATTTACTTCTAGTCATTTTTCTTGGGTGCCTACTTACTGGTGAAAGAGAAGAGTGGTATTTAAATATTTAAGAGAATAAAAGAGAATGTGCACTACTTAAAAACGGGGGGCTGTACCAGCTCCATCTCAAAATGACTTTTTATAGTAATAGGGTTTTCATTTGCTGTTTTTAGGCTTGTTTTGCCATCTTTGTAGTCAAAAAGAAAGTGACATTGCATTTAAAAAGCTGCAGACTGAAGGAAAATTCTGTCAGGGAACGGGCTAACGTGGTAGGACGCAGTGTGTAGACCCAAGACTCAGGTTCGGAGATAATCAGTTTTATTTAATATGAAGGCAGCAGGGGAAACAAAGAGCCAGGAGCTCAACCTGACAAGCCAAAGTGGAACTGAGCTAAAATGGAACTAAGTGTCAGGGAGCAGTCAGACTAACACAAGACAAGACAAGGAGAAACCCAGGACGGGAAGAGATGACGAGCAGCAAATAAAACAGAGTTCTCAGATGAGGCAGGGAACACCTAGCAGAGTTCCAAACACATAAGGGGGAGCTGAGGCAAGGAAGCCAGTCCAGAGAGGGGAGCGAGCAGGCACAGGTGCAGGAGACAGGAGAAGCTGATTCGATCCAGACGATGAACACAGACAACGGGCCAAATGGGGTGAAGTGAGCAGGCATAGCAACCACAGTGAACCAGCAAGTCACCAAGGGAAGGAAGGAGTATACATACACAGGCAACCAAGGGATATCGAGGGACAGGTGAATACAATGTGTGGTGATTGTAGACTGGGGTAAAGCTAGGGCAGGTGAGGTAAAACAGAACAGGAAGTCCTTACAAAACAAAGCACAAGACGGGGGGAGCGAGTTCAAACCGTAACACATGTAGAAGCACTGATGACTTCTTATGGTTCATTTGACATTAAATGATGTGAAAGGATCGTAGTAGATCAGTTTCGTCGTGCACAATGTCATGCACATATTATTTGGAATATTGCATGAAAAGTGTACAAGTGTTTGGATCCGCTATGACTCCTGACTCAAAAGACATGGATTTTTGAACCGTTCAGAAAAAGTTCCACCATCAGTAAACTCAAGCAAAACTTTGTTTTGAGTTCCATTCTATTCTTCTTTCTCCAACATTCCTCCCAACTCTGCCTCTTTTTTCTTTATCTCTTGTTTAATCCTGTCTCGAGCTTAACAAATGGTTGGTTAATGAGTTTGTTCAGTGACAGCCTTGAACACCTGCTCTTCTCACGTTGGTTCATACACCCACCAACTCAGTTACACAAACACACACACACTGATCTAATTGTTTCCTGTCGGACACAAACAGAATTCTGTTCAGATCTATCACTGAGCAGAAACAGAGTTCTGACAGACATGGAGAGCTCTGTGGTATGGGGAAATGGCAGCCAGGTCAAACAGAGATTGGGTGACTGATGGAGGGGTGAAACGGTGGGTAGGACAGGGAAGAGACGAGCAGAGCTTTTGAACATCTGACCTAGAATCAAGAGCTGGGTTAGGGTTAGGGTTTCTGTAGTGATGGGCTTAAGCTTACTCTTTATTCCTACTCAACAAAAAACTGTATAATTTGAACTTTGCTTTACTTGAGATAACCAACAAAATAAAGAAATGTTTAATTTTTTAATGGTTAGTGGTATCAAATTTCTCATCTATCACCAAGAAACCACACAATAATAGACCCATATCACAGACTGGAGTGCTAAGCAGAAGGTTTCGAGTTTCAGTGCCTGGAATAATGCTGACCACACCATCACATCACACAGGAGTAGACACGGTAGCACGATGATAGCTGAGTCACATGAAGGACCACAGAGCAGCTACTGAGGTAAACAGGAGTAGTGTTTCTGAGTGATGTAAATAGTGTAGTATCAGTGACTGGCCTTACCAGCAGGCATGATGTCACCTTGTTTAATGTGTGATAAGACAAAAGGCCATGTAGATCTGTGGCTTTCTTTCCTTTGCTGATTGCTCTGTTCTAACAAAGATTTTAAAGTTATTTTGCAGGCATATCAGCATTTATTCAATCTCAAAAAGTTTGCTTTTTAATTTCTTCCTGCTTTCTCCACTTTGCATTTTTCTAGCTGTCTCATGCTCATTGGTAAAACATACACATTTTTATATCAGTGCATGTTGTTTTCTAATCCACTGACCCCAAACTCCACAAACTTCCGCTCCTAAAACACACTGACCTGCAATTTTACGTGCATACATAAGCTCACATGCTTATATACACTACCAGATACCTCCCATACACAAATACTCAAAGCAATGACTGTGCACATGCACACGGACAGGGAGACAATGGTGGTTTGATGAGGAGACAATAGCAGCAGTATAAGCTTTGTGTGTCGCTGTGCCTGTCTCTGTGGGAGTTTAGTGAATTCCACTTCAACCAGATGCACAGAGAGAAAGGTTTCAGAGCTGAGTGTACAATCCATGCAGCCAAATCTATGCAGCCAAAACAACTCAACTTTCAAAGTCTGTTCTTGAGAAACACAGGTGAACTTTGCACATACAGTTGTAAGATAAAAGTTTTATTGAATTATGATACTGTAACGAGAACAACCATACAGACGCTCCCTCTCTTGTTCTTTATTTCTTTCTTTAAGACTTTCTTATCTACTCTGGAGCACGTACCTGGGTAATTGCTTTGGCAAAAACAGTGTTTGCTATGAGCTAACGCACGTAGACCTATGCATATGACTCAGTATTGCATTAGTGCATACTGTACATCACATTAACCAGAGCATGCTGAATTCTTGTACATGATCACAGCTATTAATAAACCAGACATGCAATATGCATCTTCTGACTGTATTCTCATGAGTCAGTTGTAGTATGGGGAAAAAAATCACCAGATATCCAGACGACAATACCGTCCAGCTCTGTCTGTTGTTACCAAGGTAACCCAGATTGAGTGACCAGTCAGAAACAGAGCCTTAGTACAATCTGCTACCCTCAGCGTGTGCCCTTCTTTCCATCACTCCATTTGCCCTTCTCTTTCTACATACTGTAAACTTCTCCTATCCTTTCATCTCTTACCAAGTCTGGCTTGACAGAAACAAGAAAACAACTTCTATCAAAAAGATAGAAGTGTGAGATGGAGTACTTAGTTTCTGCTCTTTCCGTCTCCCAGGCAGCTGTCAATTAAATTTAGTCCATCTGAATCTGTCGGATCCCTCTGGTCCACAGAGACCAAGCAGCCTAAACCAGGTCTGACCACAATAACCACTGCCTAATTTGTGGAGACTGTGCATTAAGTACACAGGGATCGGGGGGAAAAACTGTCTGGAAAAACTGCCCTAAATACAATTTGTTCTCCAACTATCTTTGTACTTAATTCACAGTAGCCAGTGTGTAGCCTTGCTCTTCTCTGACAGCTATATAAACACTGTATTAATGGCAGAGAATCAGGGTCCTTTAAGCTGCAGTAGGTGTCTGTAATGTTGCGCATAAGTAGGGCTTAGCCTATTGTTTGCTATTTGAAGCTGTGGACAGTAAGATGTAGGTCAGGACAGTCCCTGTGGATGGACACTGCCAAGTTGGACATACTGTATGTAAACACACAGACATACCAGACACCGGTTTGTTCTTTATTGGTTCAGACAGACAACCTGAGTGATGCTGCTCTTGTTTAGACTGCTGTGTTTACCCATTAGGCCATGCTCTCCTCCTATACTATAACGTTATTAGTCATTTCTAATCTGACTTTTTTGTTATAGTGAACCTCCTGATTCTCAGTCTACAAATTTCTCTTATTAACTCTTTGTAACTTGGCCTTTCTTCTTCTCCCCAGCCTTGTAGATCTGCGTAGTGACAGAGCTGTTTCTGCTACCCTCCAAAATAAATTTGGCTTAATCGGGACAAAGATCAGGTTACCCCTGCTCCACCCTCATGCCATCCCTCTGCTCTCTCTTTTCTCCTCTCTCATTTTCTCTGTTTATGCCTCTCTCTCCCTTTTCTTGTATCTCTGGAAACATTTTTTGTCCTTTTTATTTCTTACATAAATTTCTCCCTCACACTTATTTCCTGGTTCCCATGTGGGCTAGCGCACAGTAAAATGAATGGCATAATTGGAACCACACACTATTAATTGGCTCCATTCACAATAACTCTATTTAAAATCACACCCCTTTCAGGGTGTGCATGTCACTGGAGGCAAAAGTGTGAAATTAAGCTTGCCAGAATGCAGTAAAAGCCCAGTGAACTTAGGACCTGATGTGTGTGTGTGTGTGTTTGCACGTGTTCCCAGTTTAAGTGTGTGGAGTGCTCTCATTATCCCATGTCCTTTAATGAGAGCCATGGGTGGTTTAACACCTCAGCCCTATAGACGGGGCCCAGCTATGCCGGGCTGAATCCAGCCTGATTGTAATTATAGCAGTCAGTCTAAACAGTGTATTAACAGCCCTCTCCCTACTATGTCCTGTTCTGTAATTAGAAATGTCAGAGCTGACCTACTGTGTGTCTTTGACCGTGCTTCTACAGAGACATACAAAGTGCCGGAGTGGGAATTGAACCGGCAACCTTGTTGACAGCCATTTGTAGTCAGGGAATTGTTTCCAGTGCATTCATGATGGAGTGGAGGCCAGCAAAGAGGTGATGCAAAACTACAGGGACTGGTCCTGTGACCATGTCAGAGAACAGTGCACACACTGAGGTAAGCACAGTGAAGGACTGCAATAAAAAATGTTCCTACAGTAGTGAGATAACAAAAGAGACTCTAAACTATTATACTGACCATATATCCTTTACAAGCACCCATCATAGTGTACAGGGCCTGCCAAGTTACACGTCAGCTCTCCTTTTAAATTAAAAAAGTCACATCAAATGTCTGTAAAACCTGCTACTGCAAAGGGAGTTTACTGTTGATTTGCCTATCAGCAAACATACACACCTGGAGGATATAACAAACTGGAGAGGGCTTCATGTAAGAGCTTTCCCAAGGCATCAGGGCTCCCTGATTACTTTTGGCATTCGTATCATCCACCAACCTTAATGAAATATCACGTTAGCTAGATTTTATTTCTGCTGTTTTTTTCTGTTCCCAAAATACACAGTACAGAATGCAGGCCAGCAAATCAATTTCAAAATCTTACATCTTTTTAATATTCGTATCAGTGTTGTTTGGCGGATTAAATTAACGGTACAATAAATTCACCTGTGGCTCCCAGTGATCTAAAAATCCTCCTAAGTCAGTAGGGTAAGACAAGCAGTAATATTCTGCAGTGAAGAATGATAATTTTCTTTTACATAATGAGAGGCAGAATGGCACATAGCACAAGGATAATTTTGGATCACATCTTTGGTCAGGAGGAACTTCACATATCTTTGACCCAAAGGAAAAGTCTTCTGCATTTTTGGTTTCCAGTTTTTTATCAGATGCACTCCCACTGACTATTAGCCAACTATTTATCCATTCATGTGAGCTGAGGATTATTACTGTTTATTCATACTTTTAAGCTATGTCAGTTATTTAGCCACTACCTTTGCCCATTTTAATCATTAACCATTTCTGTTACTTTTAGCTATTTTGTCTATGTATTCCCCATACTTACCTATTTCAGCCATACATATACAGTATTTTGTTTGCAGTAATCATTCCCACATCTGACAACTTTCTTTGACTGATTTAGGTCAATGTAATGATATACTAAAACACACTGCAGAAGCACACACACACACATTGCTGTGATAGGCATAACCACTGATGTTAGCACACTTAAGAATAATATCCATTAATGAGATTAACTCTTTTAGTCCAATGAGTAGTAAAGTGAGTGAAGATGTCTCACATGCACGGACACGATCATGAAATGAGTCCTGGGTGAAGATGGTACAGGATTCATTCTAAAACTCCATTTCTCCGTCCTCTCTAGTTGAACTCGTATCAATAACAGAAAAAATGTTTGACAGGTTTGGCCAACAAGCCTACACAGATGGCAGTAATCAAAGCCAAATTTGATCCCAGTTTCTTCATTTTGCCTGCACACACTCGTCCCATTTTGATTTTGTTTTTAGCTCATTTCCAACCTCATTGTCTCTGTCAAAATCAGCTATGATCAAGGGACATGTATTCTGCAAAATTTATTACAATGCATAATATTCATGTTTGAGACTGATTGTGCAGCCTGCCACAGTGACTAAGATGTCTTGGTTGTGAGCACATTCTCTCTCTCTCTGACAGTCCTATAAAAGCCCACATCAGAAAAGAACATTTCATTTCGATGACTAGAGTCCCTGATGAAAAGACTTCTCCAAATAGCCTCCTTTTTTTCCAGGCAACTGAATGATCTCAAAAACTTCCTTCAGATCCCCACGAGTCTCTTTTCTCGCAGGATCAATGTGTGTTTATATGTGCGTCTAACTGAATCAGAGTATTTTATTCCATTACTCCATTCTGGTAGAGGACACCATCTGTTAGCCGTTAGACCACCGCCCCAGTGAGCAAAACTGAACTTTTGCTCACTTCCTGTTTTAACTCTCCAAATAACCTCTAAGATTTGACCTGACCTTCCCACAACCTATCACCTGCTGTCATTAGAAAACGGGATGCACAGCCTGCCCACACTTGGGTATCTTGGATCATTTCAGTGCCTGAAAGTCAGTGAATCACTCAAGTGAAGCATGCCTATCTGTGTGTGGATGACCCTCTGCTGATCAGGTTTGGCAGTGTTGTGGAAAGTCCCACAGGAACATGTTGTGCATATATCCATCTGCCAAGGATAAACCATCCAAGCCTCCTAACATGTTTGTGTTTCCGTCTGCTCTGGTTTAGCTCCTGCACACTGGTGAAGAGTGACTAGACAGCTCACTGACCTAATGAGGACATTTTAGTTTAAAAGGACAAGTTAATGAGTCCTTGTACCAATTTAGGGGTTAGTGTCTGAGAGGTTTAGGTAGGGACTATGTTTGTGGCCAAATTCTGGTGGTTAGCAAGTAGCAGTAAAGACAAATACCATTGTTTTATCATAACATTTTCCTCTGTGGTTTAATTTAATAATTTGTTGATATTTTTGTCAACAAACAGGCATTTTTGAAAAAAATTTAATTAGAAAAAAATGTATTATTAGCTTTAAAAACCCGGCTTGTGTAATATGCCTGTAACTGCCCAAATGTAAGCTCCTCATCATATGGTTAACCCCACTTAAACAGATATGGCATAATTTTGTGTCCTCAGTAGTAGAAACAGCCCTGGTCTGACCACTTGAGTCCCCTTTGCCATGCTGTAGTGATGTTTCCACAGTCCCAGATCTAGGCAGTTAACTTGGTGGCTATACCTAGGCATAAACCATAGCCATCAGCAATGGTGTCCAACATTATAAAGATAATGTAACTCTAATACATTGTAAATATAAAGTTCTCACTTCTAAAGAATAAAATGATATGTGTGTACATGAGTATTTGATAACTGACATTGCCACCCACTTGTGTCATTCAGGAGACCTTGGTTTAGGAGTTCACCAGGTTGACCACTGCACACACAGACAAATACAGATCTTCTGTTTAACTAGAGAATGCATTAATAATTAATGAACTATGCTCACTAAATTAATTCCCAGTCTCTCATTAGACAATCTCTTCAAGAGTCACATCTGTGCTTTGTGATTCCTCTTTTTACCCTTGTTATTATCAGCATTTGCGCATTGCTGCATTGTCAAGACTGTTTTTAAAAGAAATGCAGAAACCTGCAACAAAAACACCTGCATATTAAATCTAGCAGAGAGGAGCATAATAACTCTAGGTGTGTGGCTGAGTGTGGGTGGATCTGGCTGTGTTACACTGGAAGGTGCTTTCTGAAATTGAATCTACAGGTGTTTTTCTAGTGGCACATTAGCTCTATGCCACGCTTCTGCTCAGCAGGAGAAAACAAAAGATGCAGAGATAATGGTTTAGATAAAGACAATGATCAATTTTGTGTTAATGAGTGTGCGTGACTGTCTATGCTTTGAGTGTGTAAAAAGGAACAGGGACAGACCCCTGACATGCTAAGTGCTAGACTGAGTGTTCTTGATAATTAAGCGACTGTGCGATTATGCAATGAGCATGACCATGCCAATGCTAGACAAAGAAAGAACAGAAAGACAGAACAGGAGGCAGAGGGAACAGCGTGACAGGGGTTGGATGAACTAACGAGAAAAGCTAAGACAGAAAGAAAAGGATGCAGGCTACTGCAGAGAAAGATTTCACGGTGAAGTTGAGTTGTTTGGCTGAAGTTGGATGGAAACTTGGTTTAATGGTGTGTAAGCTGGGATTTATGCTAGTAGTGAGCATGCAGTAAACTATATTTGGAAGGGGTTAATGTGCGTGTGCATGTAGAGAATGCCAGCACATCCATGGCATACATGCTTACACTTTACGCCCTTGCACCTATAACATTGTAACACTAGCAGTGTGTGTGTGTGAATACACACCACAGGACTTAAAGTTGTTGGCAGCAGAGTTTTAACTTCTGGCCATCTCTAACTTGTTGATCCTATTGGACCTACCCTATTTGTAGACACATTTAGCATATAGCATACATGTTTATGAGTCTAAGGGTCACTTCATGGAAATGGTTTTGCTGAGTCCCAGATGTGTGTAACTTTAACATTTGCAAAATAAGCTACATGATCAAAACTGTGCAGACAGGGAGAGAAAGTAAAATGTGGACTTCTGGAATTGTGGTTTCCTAAATTATTATGGAACCTGGTTACAGGGATTTGCTCCCATTCAACCACAGGAACATTAGTCAAATCCAGCGCTGGTGCTGGAAGATAAGGCCTTCATCCTGAAGGTGTCACATGGAGCTGAGATCAAGGCGCTCATCGGGCAAGATAAGTACTTACAAACCAAACTCGTAAAAACATTTCTTTATGGACTTTGCCTTATGTATTGATGCATTGTCTAGGGATACCAGCAAAATGTTTCCAGAGAGCTAGAAACTCACTATTATTATTATTATCATTATTATTATTACATGCTTAGATTTTCCTTAAATATAGTGGCCAAGACCAAACCATTACAGGAAAAGTTTAGCATTTTTAGAATAATGCTTATTCGGTTTCTTGTTAGAAAGTAAGAAGCTCAGGATCATTCTCATGTCTGCACAGTAGATGGGCAGCGTAGTGGTTACTGGTTAGCTACTGTAGGTTTTGTATTAAGACTGGAAACCAGGGAAAACAGGTCTGTTCAAAGGCAACACAATTCACCCACCAGTACCTCTAAAGTTTATTTATTAACATGCTGTATCTTATTTGTTTAACCTGTACAAAACCCAGAGATTAAAAATTGATGTTTGTTTTATAATATAATAAATAGTGCATGAGCCTTGAATAATTATGAACTCATCAGGCTTCCCTTTGTAACACTAATGAGACACTAGTTGTAAAGCTGTTAATTCCTACTATTACCAATTAGCAATATGTCTGACTGTGACTCAGACCTGCATGACAAACTATTACCCTCTAATCAAAGTGATGAATCAGTAAGTTGTTCTTTCAAAGAGATGTGCAGTTTGTCAAAAAGCCATACTATTAAAAATTTTGTTCATATGTGGCTTTATGGTTAAATACCATGAGAATACCATAAGTCTTTTCACTCACTTTTCTCTCACTTTATATTAAAAGGCAGAGCAGATTCCTCATCAACATGCATTCTTTCAGAGCTGTGGCCTGATCAACTCTTTTGCTAGATTTCTGAAAGAAGGGCATGAGAGATGCATATCACCATAACAGAGCAATCTATTGCCTGCAGAGAAACAACCAATCTTAAATGCTGACATGAACACATGCATGCACTCGTGTAGACACAGTCATGCACACATGCACACACAATTATGCGCACATGTACCCAACAGCCGTGCATGCACACAGACACAGACACAGACAGCCGCCCACGCACACCCTTGGAAGAAGCTACTCACACCTCGCCCCCATAGAGTACATGTCAGTCCATCTGGGATCATTAACACTATATTAATGAATATAGGGTTGGGGCCAGAAGCATGGGAAGAGAGGGAGAGGGAGAGAGATACAAAGGAGACAGAGAGATAAAGAGGGTGGGAGGATGGAGGATGATAATGGATTCTCTCCTAACAAATGCACTGCCCGAGGTAGTTGTTGGGTGGGTGATAGGTTGGGGGTTACAGGGATAGGAAAAGATTGAAAGTGAGGGGAGCTGGGGCGGAAAGTGGAAAATTAGACCATACCAAGACATGGGAAGTAGGAACTGAAATGGAGCAATGGTGAGAAGCTCAAGATCTAGTCAGTGTGAAAAGAAAAGAAGAACAAGTTAAGTAATCACAGAGAGATGTACTCAGCACATTGTGGCCAGGGGCTGATGAGGGCTCCGTGGAAATAACTGAACAGATGAACAGAAGAAAAGGAAGGAAGGAAAGACAGCAGAGACAACAGATGAGCTGAGAGAACGGGCAGGGAAACAGACATGCAGATACAGTATAACAAATGATGGCAGAGGCAATGCAAGCTGAGTAGCGTGGTTAAATATTTCACTGGGGGTTGTGTGCGCTTTTGTGTGCTGTGTGTGAGTATATTTGTGTGTGTGTGTGTGTGTGTGTGTGTGTGTGTTAGTGGTAGGCATATGTGAGTGAGAGTCCCTGGGAGACAGAAAGGAGGACGGAGCAGCGGGAAGGGAGCGAACAAGTGGAGTGTGCCTGTTGACTGGGCAAGTTAATGATTCCTGTGGTCTGAATAGTGACACAGTGTTAGTCCAGGAGGGAGGGAGGAGGCTCGTTGACCCCCTACTGACACACGCACAGACACACACACACACACACACACACACACACACACACACACAGAACATTGTTTTAGTTTGTTTGTGTGCATGTCCATGGATTCATTTGAACTCCTGTTAGCTCATGTTGCACATTTGGAAAGAGCTAAGCCTCAACGGTGGCTTTCCAGAAGATGCTCAGAGAAGAAATACCACCTGTCAGTTCCCCCCCCACCAACTAAATCTAGACACATGGAGTGCTATTAAGCAAAAGTGTGCCTCCCCTTGTTTGAATGGGGGACCACCTGTATGTAGATGAATAGCGTTGGGGTTGGGAGACGTGCCTTTGTGGTGCTAGAGAACGAGCAGTTTGTCGGAGTGTGCTGCTACAAGCCAGAGAGCCAAGGGCCTGCAGGAGGACGGGGGATAAAGGGACAAAGGGCGGCAGGGTGACAAGCTGTCCATGTATAGATGAAACAAAGCCAAGTGTTAACAAGTCTAGCTAGCAGTAATGACTGGGGTTAGGTGAACAAAAGGCAAGCATTTTGAAATGCAATCTGTGTTCAACTAGAGTCAATAAGGAGCACATTACAGTGATTTGACCCCTTTATACTTTATTCATTGTATCACAATGTTGATCTTACATATGACCTTTTTGCTGGTGCCAGCTATGGTTGTTCTCTATGGGAGAGGGCACGGAGGAGAAACACAGCCAAGGCAGAGGCTCGAGGTCACAATGACTGATGTGATAAAGTCGGGACTAAAGAAGAGGCAGAAATACAATAAACAGGATAACATCTCAATTCACTTAATGCAGAAACAACAGAGACGGCAGCAGGGATCAAAGTACTCCTACACATCTTGAACTCCAGTAAAAACATGCGCCACACACGCCTGTGTTTGGGCAGATGTGTTCATACCCTTACCTAAAACAACTACGAAACAGTTTCTCTGCCTCTTATTAGGTTTCGGTGATGCTGACGCCCACTGTTTCCACATGTCAATAGGTATAACACCCTTTAGTCATGTTCTTTTCAAACTTTCACTCCCTCATTTTGACTTGTTCCCCCTCTCACTGTTAAACACTCCTGTTTCATATTTCTGTGTGTGTTTGAAGTAACTTCAAATCTTGACAGAGATGCCCGACCAGCTCTGATCTCTGCCTTAGGCCAGCCGGATTACAAGGGAGAGGAAGAAGTGGAATAGAAAAGCAAAACTGATCATTTAATAGGCTGCAAGTCTCATTTTTAATAGATGTTTTCCACATATCTTTAACCCTTCTTATCTAAACATCTATTCCAGCTGAGCTGATACTTGTACAGTCTTCTTCTTCTGACACCATTTGTTTTTGTTTTGTGGATCTATTCGCTATCTGAGACTTTCTTACTGTATGTGTTCCCCCTCCAATAAAAATTGCATTTGCTATAACTGAGAGAGCAGAGAAAGGAAAACAGACAGGTATACTGTAGATAGCACCATATGCTCTCTATGTTTTCTTTTATTTAATTACACAAGTTATGTAATTGTAGGACTTTCTTAACATGTTGAACAACTCTTGGCAGATACTGTGACACCTGGAGACAAATCCTTAGACAATAAACAAGCCAGTTTCCGTGCTGTCAGGTCTTCCCCTGACTTCCTTAAATCTACTTTTAGAACTGTCGAGCTCTCCATCATCTCAACACTTTTTCTGCAAGTTGCTTTTTTGAGGTTCCTCTGCTTTATTGTAATTCACAGAACCTCCCTCTTCTCTTTCTCTGTGTATCTGTGTGTCTATTTGAGCTTTATGAGGATTAAATCTCACTCTGAGAGTCATCCATGGTTTCTACTGGGAACAATGCTATCATCACAGGCTGCAGAAAAGACTTGCAGTGCATGTTTGTTAGCATCTTTCTGCCTGTGTGTACATGTATTGTATGCATACAGCATATGTGCATGTGTGCAAAAGGAGTTCCCAGCCATCTGACTGTTGGCTACAGCAGCAGAGACGAGGTGTATTTGTGGGCTGTGAATTTCTAAATTTATGATTTGGTCTTGTTACACTGTTGGTTATGTGTTAGATGAATGCATCATAAGGAAATCTCATGTTTGAGCATCAGACGTCTGCTGGCAATGAGGGGCATTTTAACAGTCAGCCCTAGTATGAGTGAGAACTGGGGCATCCTGTTGCTGGTAGTCTGAAGCTGGTGAATCACTGGCTAGTTTGGGAGCTTCTGGAGCAGTATTTGCATTTCAGTAATTCCTTGGAGTAAATCAATACGGTATGCATTCTGGCTTTTTATAAAATGAGAATTTATCATGGTCTAGAATTTTTTTGTTCTTGGTGAAACAAATGATTAGCTTGGCCATCTGTCCCCATTATTCTTTCCCCATTATTTTACTTCCTCACTCCCTCCTTCTTCATTAGTCATCATTTATGGGGAGACATTATGAAATGGAAAAGCACCCTCAGCTGTGATTAACCCCCCACTGCCTGCAGGACCTATAGTCACTGTGTGTGTGTGTGATCCTCTCAAGAGTACCAGGACGTGTGTGTGCTTGCCCAGCCAAGCCTAGGGACAGTCAGACACTCAGCTTGTCTGCACACACACACACACACACAGACATGCAAACAATGCACCCTTCCATCTCCCTGCAGCTCTAGAATTCTGAACGAGTAAACCCAGGCTGAGCTCCATCCCTGGAGCCACAGTCCCGTCGACACCCTATGGTCTGGACTTTATCTGCTCCATGTGAGGTTGTTTTCTACAGTTACCTGTCTGGGAATGAGGCTAAGCGGAGACCAGACCCGATTAGACAGGCTGATAAGATGGTAATAATTCTTTACTATCTGACAAAATGTAATCTGTACAGCCGAAAGCCTCGACAATATCAGCCTGCAAGAACACCCACACCTCTACGAAGAGGGTTTTATATAGAAAAGCTCACTTTTAGAGTGCACAGCTAGAAACTGTGAAAAGTAATGCAATTTAGCACAATATAAGAAATGCAGGTTGACAAACTGCATCACAATACGTAATCACAGCTCAGCACAGTACAGTGAATTGCAACATACAGTACATCTCAAAATACGTGCAACTGAGCCCATCAGCAACACATTACAGTGTCACAACAGAGCAATTTAAAAACACATGACTGTGACTAGAAATTCACTTGAACTACTTTATATTTACATTTTTGAGTGGTGGAAAGTAACTAAGTACATGTCAAGGACTCTATTTGAGTACAATATTGAGGTTGTTATACTTTGAGTATTTAGTGCTGTTGATACAACCACATTTCAGAGGGAAATATTGTCCCTCTTGCTCCACTTATTTTAAAGCTATAGTTACTTTTCAGATTTTACATAAAAACCACACCAGATTATAAATTATGATTTTTTTTATGGATTACACTAGCCAAAAGTATATTACCAGTTAAAATTGGTTCTGCACTACAACATTAAACTTCTTTTTTCTTCTAAACTGTCATTTTATTACCACTGTCAGTCCAGGACTTTAAGTTCCAATTGACTATTTTTATACTTACTATTGCTTGTTAAGTATATGATATGAAACTTTGAGATTTGTAGATGCCCTTGTTCTACAGTATTTCCCTAAAGTGTCTCAGAGCTTCCTTGGTTTATTAATATTATTAAAGTGTAACCGTTTATTTAGTAAAGAGTAATATGTTTTTAGCTGCTTTTTTCTTTTTATCTAAAACGTTTAGATTTACCACACCACTTTTCCGTTTTTACGTACAGTATATGTGTTCATTAAGCTTCTACAGTGTTACTGTACTGTAGGGTTTTTCTGTTCCTGGTTTATAGTAGGAGCTGAAGGGAGCGTGTCCAATGGATGCGGTGGGCGGGACATTCAGATTAACTCACTACTATTGGTAGGCGGCAAATGAAGGGGCGGAGCCACGGCCACACAAAACAGACATGTAGCGCTGTAGTGAACCAGTCAGGAGTTGCAACAGTGTGTAAACAGCTGTATCACTGAATTGCTTTGATTACTACACTGCGAGCGTAAAATTAACGATTGGTTTCCGTGCGCGTATTTACGCATCCAACTATTCGATAACATCGTCTTTTTTAAATTATCGCTTGCTACTTTGAACTTGTTGAGGTTCCTGTGGAGAAGAGAAGCTATGGATTTGGTGTGGCTGGTGTGTTTGGTGCTGAGCATCGGCGCCTGGTTCGTCTCTGCCGAGAGGCATAGTGTCTACTGGAACGGCTCGAATCCAAAGTAAGTGGTGATCTGTGCATGTAAACAGTGGTAGAACTGTCTAATGTGTATTTGATCAGGATCACTTACAACCAGCTGTGACTGTGTGTGTGTTTCCTGGAGTCGCCCAAAGCGAGTGGTTTTAACTTTGTACTTTCTTACAGTTTCGCACATGTAGGTCTGAAGTGTCATCCTTTAGTCCTTTGTTACCGTGTCTGTGTACTCTGCTCACGCTCACATAGTAAACATCTACAGCTAAGCTTATTGTTGCCATTCATGTGACAGTTAAAGGTTCATATGACGTTTTAAGTCAGGGACGTGTGGTGTACCTTTAAACCGTCCTAAGATAGCAATTAAAGTATTAGACTATAGGCTACAACAGCAGCCGGATCTAAAAGCAGAAGATTGGGAGAGGATTCCCAGTGAGATGAGCAGATTCACCACTATATTTAACCGCAACACACACACACACAGACATACTGTAATAGTAGAAAATAGACTGACAAGTATCAACTTGGCCAGCGACGCTGTATGTAGGACCTGCACCTGTGTGTGTATATACAGTGTGTGGAATGGCAAGAGATGGCGCATCAGTATTTTAAAGCAGTTTCTCACTGGGGAATATAGAGATAATGTGTGTGTGGGTCAGAGACAGAGAGAGTCACATATTGCTGATTACTTTGTTTTGAGGTCAGAAATGCTATCCGGCTACTCAGTGAAATCGATTGAGCTTGACAGACGCGCAATATCGCAGCGCGATTTATTGAGCTTTTAGCGTGGGGCGAGTGATCTCGTCACTGTATTATTTTATAACTGAGCTGAAACCGAAGGATAGTCCCCGCTTCTCTGCGGCAGAGATAGGTCGATTAAAACCCGCCACTAAGACGAAACAAGGGCAAAAGCCATTATGATCTTTTAGTCTTGTCTTGATTACATTACGGGCTCTCTAATTGCCCTTTAACAATGACAATAGACGCACGGCTGAAAAGCAAGAGGCAAAACAACTGTCCTGATAATTGGATAAGGAGTCTAATGGAAAGTACTGTCGTCATGAGCAGTATTTGTGTCATGGGTTATGCCAGTGTGTGACTCAACGACCTGGGTCTGACCCACCTGAGTTGGGCACCTGAGTCACCACTGACAGGAACGTTTTGGATGAAATTGAAGGAAGAGGTAACTTCAAAGATGTATAGTCTGAATAAAAAAGGTTGATAAATAAGGCAAAGAGGCAGTGGTGGTCTGGTACAGAGTCACATCATAGTATGTGTGCTGTTTGTAGTCTGGCCCCCTACTATTTGGACTGAAGTTGCATAACCAGACGACAAATCATAACACTAACTAATCCTTGTCTGCTAGATGGCTAAACATAGACCGTGACAGTGACAGACATACATTTCATGCATCAACAATAATTCACACTTCACAAGTGTGAAAGGATGGATTCAGTATTGGCTGTTCTGCTTCTTCTTGTCAGTCACCTGTCATACTTTTGTTGAGCCAAGACCTTTCGCTTTCTCATTCTCCAACATTTAAATGCCCAAACAATCTTTGAGGGGTGCTGGGAAATAGAGTTTCTTAGAAAGTCAATGAGAGAAATTAGTACCAGTGGAATAAAGGCAGCTAAAAATCAAAAGTGAAACTGTAACCGGCTGACCTCGTGCCACTTGTGGTATATTTTTTGCCATGTTGTACACTCAAATCTGTTACTCCTCTTTAATCCCTCACTTCAGTCCCAGACTGCCCCTAAACTCACCCCTTTCTCTCGCTCTCACATCTTTCTCTGTCATCTATTGTACGGTCTTCTGCTTTACCACAAGCCCACCTGCCCCAAACTGTCCCCAGTGATCAATCAGTCACATGTTCAGAGTATTGCAGAGATCCATCAGCAGCTTTTGACGGTGTGGATAATAGATGTTAATTGATTCTTGGTCTGATTGTAAGCAGCAGTGATTTGTCTTAAGTGGAGGACAGTGGCCAGATGGCAGCAGTCTGCTCATGTATGTTGGAGTGTCGAGATGGGACCCACTGGCAGGAATTTAGGTGTGTATGTCTGTCTCTAAACATGATGTATAGTGTGCGCTTGTTTCCTAACTTGAGAATGGGTGAGTCAAAATTGTGTGGCACTTTGTTCATGCAGGTAGAAAAGCACTGTATTATGTGTTGTCCAATTTGCAGTTAATGATCAGGGCTTAATCCTGTACGATATGAATTTCACATCTTCTAGGGATTTGATACTCTGACTGTAGGTGTGTGTGTGTAAGTTACATGACAGGTGGAGAGCCATGTTACCGTCAGTCTGGTCTGGTCTTGTTTTCATACTACATGTCTTTGCCTGTGTTGACTCTGTGAGTGTGCGTGCGTGTGTGTGTGTCTGACAGAGAGAGTTTGAACTTGTGCTGCCCTTTACCAGCTTTTACAAGGAAGTGATTTTATTTTTGTTGCAGACTGAGATTGCATGATTCTGTGTGTCTGTTTGTGTGCCCCAGCGTCAGAATAAAATAGGGAGTGGTTGTTACTGTAGGCAGTATTACCAAGACATGTGTGACTCACACTTACACAAATGGGGGGGGGCAAGAGGGATGATAATATTAGCAACAGTCAGAATCCCAGCCCACTGTTACTCTACTCTGTCAGCTGTGTGTGTGTTTCTCCCTCTGTACCTGCCCGTTCCTCTCTCCATCTTTTTCTCTCTTTAACAGCTGGATCTCCTCCCAGATTGGCTGCTGTCCCGTGCCCTGCATAGCGTTTTCTCTTTACACTGATTTGGCCTGTTTATCGCTGTCTGTCTTAGCTGTTACTGAGGCAGCAAGCCCTGCCTCAACACATACTGTACATGTGGCCTGGGGGGTGAAATTGGGGTGAAGGTGATCGATGTCACTAGCCCCACCCCACCCCACTTCCCACCCTTCATGTGCATGTAATACATTTAGTTCTCTCTCCAGCTTTCTTCCCACTCACTGTTTCCCCCATGGAGTGTCTGGTTGTTGGTCTCTAATCTGAGAACACACACACACACTATCATAGGTTACTGAAGATTTGCAATCTGACCCATAGACACAAAATTCATTTGATATTCCCTGCAGATATATAACTGTGTTCTTACAAATTTTTATTCATACCTTTATGCACCATAGCCCACAGCGGGCACCTTTAACCCTAGTGCATACTTTAAGTCTGCACTTCAGGTCTGTAGACATTCTCCTCCCTCCTCAGAGTATCCATGTACCTCTGTTTTCTCTCTGCTCTTCCTGTCACCTCCTTATCACAGCTCCAGACTTCCTCCTTCCCCCCTCCCCTCTCTCAATCAGTCCCTCTCTTTCTCACAGACCTTCCTCTGTTTTGCCCCCAGTAGTTTTCCACCAGAGGAGGACAGAGCACCTCTCAGCCTTTGCTCCCCTAACACTAGAGCAGCTTACATTATTATAGTACGTGTGGGCATGTTTGCGTGCGTATGTGCACACTGCTCATTCATAGCATTTCAGGCATACCATGGCATTGCTGTCCACTTGCAGCCCACCATCGCCCCCTAAAGGGCAGAATTAGCAACAAATGGGCTTAAGCTCAAGCATTTGAGATCATTCTGCGTTAATTAATGCAAAACTTTTTGCTAATAAAAAAAAAAACAGTTAAGCATTTCATGGAAAATTCTTAGAAATCTCTGAACATGTTCCCTCTTTCTCAACTAGACAGACATCCGCAGGCGAACAGATCAACTCCTTGTGAATCCCCCCCAAACATATTTAACCAAGCATGATACAATTTGGCCTTCTCCTATTCATCACAGACAGAATGGGAGGCTACAGAAAGGGGGGACTGGGTGAAAAGATTTGGAGGGCAGAGAGGAGCGGGGGCCTCAGCAAAGGGTTAGAGAAAGGTGAGCTAGAGAAAGGAATTTGTGTTGAGAAATTAGCCTGGATGAAGAGCTCTAGTATATTATGTCAGCGTTAAGAGACAGGACAAAATAGAGGGTAGAGAGGGGGTGATGGGCTTTTCTTTGAGGAATAAAGGACAGGCAGACAGAGGGAGGAGAGAGTGGACAGTGATGGATGAAGGGAGGGGAGAAGTTTGAAATTGAATAAGTGAAAAACAGCAGTGTTGACAATTTTAAACACTCTCATTCTGCAAGGATAAGAGGGGTTCTCAATGTCTTAGCTATAAGCACACATAGACTTGCAAATACTTGAAATTGCAGAGTTATGTA